GTGTACATGCTAGAAATTAGTTTACAAAGATAAGGATCATTACTCAAAAAAATGAATGCAAAAAAAATAAAATTACGTATTATCAAAGTGGCTTTGTACAGGATCAATTAATCTACTCAAGAAGTTTGATCAAATAAAATAAATAGATTATGAAAGTAAAATTACATATTAGAAAATATTAATTTGATCATTAAAACCACAGTGACATATGTCTTCCTTTTAACCACATATTTCTAAAAAAAAAAAAAAAATTTAGAAAAATTCACATTTCTTAAATTCTTTCAATGTGGGCAGCAAATTAGCTGTCTCATGCTATCCACTGAAGACTTAGCATTACATTTTTGAATTAGTCTAAATCCTTGTCACCAACAGTTCACATCTAAAAAGAATGTCTTTTATCTACCAGGTAGATCAGTTGCTGAGACAATGTCCTACTCTTAGCTAGAACATAATTCTAAGCTGGCTTTGATTCTTATTTCTGAAGCTTTTAGAACATTTTTTTCTCAGTCCATTAATTGCACACTTTGTAGAATAGTTTAAGGATAATTAAAGATATCTATTAACAATACACAAATTATTCTTTATATCTTTTTTGTTACGTTATTCTAATTTTTAGTATCTATATACTGTACCTGTTCTGTTATAGGGAAGGCTATACATGAAGGCTTTCAATAACCTCTGTACACAACCCAAGTGTTTAGAAGTCTTCACCCACACTGATATATTGTACGAAGGAATACTTAGCACTACATTTCAATATTTTAAATATTATATTTATTTTATTTATTTATTTTATTTAATTATATATTATTACATTATCTATGACTACATATTATTTATATATATTATATTTAAAAATGTTACAGGTATGTTACACAGTAGAAAAAACTTTGTTGTTGTTTTACTAAAGGCAAATTTTGCAACGGAATTTTCCTCAGAGCTTAGTGAATGAGTTGAAGCTCTGAAGGCCTATTTGCTTTTAGTAAATCAACCCCAATGTGTGTAACATTACCACTTACAGTATATTGTATAGTGTGGTTTATAATCATTGGTGATTGAGATCCCACACTTTTGTTTGAAACATTATGCATTAGTGTTCCATTCCACACACATACAGCGTATTTTGACTTTCAAACCATAATGAAAAGATGTACAGTGGATATAAAAAGTCTACACCCCCCTGTTAAAATGTCAGGTTTCTGTGATGTAAAAAAATGAGACAAAGATAAATAATTTCAGAACTTTTTCCACCTTTAATGTGATCTATAAACTGTACAAATCAGTTGAACAACAAACTGAAATCTTTTAGGTGGAGGGAAGTAAAAATAAAAAACTAAAATAATATGGTTGCATAAATGTGCACACCCTTAAACTAATACTTTGTTGACAGACCTTTTGATTTTATTACTATTATTAGTCTTTTTGGGTATGAATCTATCAACATGGCACATCTTGACTTGGCAATATTCCTTGCAAAAACACTCCAAATCTGTCAGATTGCGAGGGCATCTCCTGTGCACAGCCCTCTTCAGATCACCCCACAGATTTTCAATTGGATTCAGGTCTGGACTCTGGCTGGGCCATTCCAAAACTTTAATCTTCTTCTGGTGAAGCCATTCCTTTGTTGATTTGGATGTATGCTTTGGGTCATTGTCATGCTGAAAGATGAAGTTCCTCTTCATGTTCAGCTTTCTAGCAGAAGGTTTTGTGCCAATATTGACTAATATTTGGAACTGTTCATAATTCCCTCTGCCTTGACTAAGGCCCCAGTTCCAGCTGAAGAAAACAGCCCCAAATCATGATGCTGCCACCACCATGCTTCACTATGTGTATGTGTTCTTATGGTGATGTGCAGTGTTGTTTTTTGTGACAAACATATCTTTTGGAATTATGGCCAAAACATTCAACCTTGGTTTCATCAGAGCATAACACATTTTCCTACATGCTTTTGGGAGACTGCAGATGTGTTTTTGCAAAATTTGCTTGGATGTTTTTCTTTGTGAGAAAATGCTTCTGTCTTGCCATAGCCCAGACATATGAAGAATACGGGAGATTATTGTCACATGTACCACACAGCCAGTACTTGCCAGATATTCTTGCAGCTCCTTTATTGTTACTGTAGGTCTCTTGGTAGCCTCCCAGACCAGTTTTCTGCTCATCTTTTCATCAATGTTGGAGGGAAATCCAGTTCTTGGTAATGTCACTGTTTCGTCATATTTTCTCCACTTGATGATGACTGTCTTTACTGTGTTCCATGGTATATCTGATGCCTTGGAAATTCTTTTGTACCTTTTTCCTGACTTACACCTTTCAACAATGAGATCTCTCTGATGCTTTGGAAGCTCTCTGCGGACTATGGCTTTTGCTGTAGGATGTGACTAAGAAAATGTCAGGAAAGACCTACTAGAACAGCTGAACTTTATTTGGGGTTAATCAGATGGCAGGTGCGTATTGACTCCTATTTAACATGATTTTGAATGTGATTGCTTAATTCTGAAAACAGCACACTTATGAAACAACATTATTTTAGTGTTTTATGTTTACCCCCCTTAAAGAATTTCAATTTGTTTTTCAATTGAGTTGTACAGTTTGTAGGTCACATTAAAGTTGGAAAAAGTTCTGAAATTATTTATCTTTGTCTCTTTTTTGTACATCACAGAAACCTGACATTTCAGCAGGGGTGTGTAGACTTTTAATACTCACTGTATTTCCTTTTTTTACAGCAGGCAGTAATTATGTCAACCATAGACTCAATCTCCCACCCACACTATCTAAAGGAATTGTATATATGTATCTGTGTGTAAAACAAATTGATGTATCTATACAATACACACATATTGTATATATGCATTACACACATCCATACATATGTATACCATTGCTGAGACATATACTGACACCTTTAAAAATTGTGTAATTATATAAAAAAAATTACATTGCAACCTCATTCCACAATAAAAACATGAGGGGTGACTGAATGCCTTGTTGTCTATAGTTGCTACAGTTGCAGCAAGGTGATCAATCTGTTACTTTGGTTCAGAACCAGGTTGCCAATCAGTCCTCCATCCAAGCAATGTTCCAAGCAAAGAACAGCACTGGAGGTGGTGGCTTATTGCTTTCCTTTGGATCTAGTCAGGTTATAGCCGAAAGCAGTGAAAATAGACTTAAAACTGGTAGTGACAGTGACAGTGGCAAACATAGTATTACTGGCAAATCTAATGTGAGAATAGTGATGTTGGACATCTTTTTTTTCATTAGAAAATCTTTCTAAGTCCCGATTTACACCTGTGCATTCCAGGAATGTATGCAGAAACACGTTTCTGCACGTGCTCTCGGAACACATAAAAAAGGTGCCAAAATGTGGGATGTGCTTGTGGTGCAATTAATTCTTAGTGGCACCCCAAATGTGGCTAGCAGTTGCATGCTGTGTCACTTGGAAATGTGCCAAAACTCAATGTAAAAAAATATGCAAAGCCCATCACCCAAAAAGTTGTGGGAGCTTCCTTGGTGCATTTATCTTGTGTATGGCGCAATGCATGAAAAACACACAAAAATACCCGTGAACACAATATCTTTCTATGCCTAGTGTGAATGGGGCCTAAATCACCATGACACTGTTATGGACATGATATGAAAACTGTCTCAGGGTGAAAGAAGACAATACAGAAAAGATGGGTGGTACTGAAGACGATTAGCCTTGGTCACATGTCAAAATAAAACCAAGTTATCCAGAATGCAGCAACTAAGGTTGCCTCCACTGGAGCCAGGGATAGTGTAGTGGATTCTTACTTTCAAAATGTTAGGCTCAGGACCACTTTCAGCTGTGAGAGTTCAGAAATTTTTTGGGATTTCCAGTTTTGGAGTTTTACTCATGATTGGCAAATAACACAATTTATCATCGTTAGCAACATACGTAGAAAAAAAAGTATGATGTGGCTCTTTAGGCTCATGTTTGGCAACTGCAGATTTCATGCACCACCAAATTACATCACACTTTTTTGTGATAGAAGCACAGGGAAATATTTTCCTTGTCCACCATTTCAGTTTCGTTGCCAACCAAAATTTTGGACCACTTGATCATTATTATTTGCTGCTGAAATGCTCCCCAATCCTCTTCAGGCCAAGAACTTGCACTCTCCAGTTTTAGTAAATGCCCCCCAATGTGCTGGGTAAATCACAACCACAGTGTCATGGTCATTTACGGCTGGCCTGCGGGCTTTCATTTCTTGTCTACTGACATTGCATGCTGTACCCTAATGGTGTTTTATCTCTTTTTTTTCACCTTTTTTTTTCAATAGTCTATTATTTTTTATGGGAAAAAAACTAAAATAAAGGGGAACTTTTGTAACATCAGGTGTCATCTAAAGCCAGGTGCTTAAAAAACCACCAGAAAACACATTAATTTGACCTTTCCCACACATTCCAATACTTTTCACCAAAATGGGCAAGTTTTGTCTAAACCTACTATTATGTTTGAAAATTTCAGGGGAATGAAACCTCTTAATTTCACTCATCACTACTTCAGAGTAATAAGCATTTACCATATTTTTCGCTCCATAAGACGCACTTTTTTCCCCCCAAAAAATGGGGGGAAACGTCTGTGCGTCTTATGGAGCGAATATGGAGCGACCGGCCCGGTATTCCCGCCGCCGTGTTAGAATACCGGGCCGGCCACTCGGCTCTACTGTGTAGAAGAACCCGCTCCTCCATCCTACCTGTTCCTCGGCACAGCGGTGTACTGCTTCCATCGGTCATCTTCTCTCCCCGGCGCCGGCCTCTTCAGTGTGGGCACCCGGATGTGACAGTTTGCGACTTCACAAGCGGGTGACCACTGCGCATGAGTGATAAGTGATGCGCTTTGTAAATGGCCCTGTAGTCTTATGGGACCTGGCATGTGTCCCACAAGACTACAGGGAGGAAGGGGGGGAGGACAACTCCCTAGAAAGTGGGAGCGGGTACCTGTCGAATTCGGGTACCCGCCCCCCCCTTCACAAAGGTCTGCAGTCTCTGCTCATCTCCTGTACTATGTCCACAGTCTCTGGTCATCATCTCCTGTAATATGTCCACAGTCTCTGGTCATCTCTTGTAGTATGTCCGCAGTTGCTGGTCATCTCCTGTACCATGTCCGCAGTCTCTCTCTGGTCATCTCTTGTAGTATGTCCGCAGTCTCTGGTCATCTCTTGTACCATGTCCACAGTCTCTGGTCATCTCCTGTACCATATCCGCAGTCTCTGCTCATCTCCTGTACCATGTCTGCAGTCTCTGCTCATCTCCTGTACTATGTCCGCAGTCTCTGCTCATCTCCTGTACCATGTCCGCAGTCTCTGGTTATCTTCTGTAGTATGTCCACAGTCTCTGGTCATCTCCTGTAGTAGGTCCGCACTCTCTGGTCATCTGCTGTACTATGTCTGTTGTCTCTGGTCATCTCCTGTACTATGTCCGCAGTCTCTGGTCATCTCCTGTACTATGTCCACAGTCTCTGGTCATCTCCTGTAGTAGGTCCGCAGTCTCTGGTCATCTGCTGTACTATGTCTGTTGTCTCTGGGCATCTTCTGTACTGTGCCCGCAGTCTCTGGTCATCTCCTATACTATGTCTGCAGTCTCTGGTCATTTCCTGTACTATGTCTGTAGTCCATTGGTTCAGAATTTTTTTCTTGATTTCCTGCTCTAAAATCTAGGTGCGTCTTATGGTCAGGTACGTCTTATGGAGCGAAAAATACTGTAATTACTAATAAATAGTATTAAAGAAGGAAATCTAATGAGTTTCCCTTGCAAGCAAAATATGGTAATGCATTATAGAGATATAGATAGGTAGATAGACAGATAGATAGATAGATAGATAGATAGATAGATAGATAGATAGATAGACAGATAGACAGATAGACAGATAGATAGATAGATAGATAGATAGATAGATAGATAGATAGATAGATAGATACAGTTGTGTCCAAAATTATTCAACCCCCAATGCTGTAAAGGGGTTTAGGGACTATAGTGTACATTTGGAATTGTATTCAGAATCAAATCCTACAAGGACGTTGTAACTACCCAAATGCAACTAAAATGACATCAATTGTTTATGTAATACAGTAGTAAATGGTTCTTATGTGGTTTCTTCATTGCCACAATTATTCAACCCCTTAAAGACTACCACTCTGAAGAACAGAGGTTCATACAGGTGCTTTCCATCAGGTATTGAAAACACCTGTGGATGTCACCGAGCAGCAATCAAGCATAATAAGCACCAATTAGGCAGCTTTAAAATGACTGTGATACTCAGCTCCTTCTAGACATTTACTGGTGTGGTTACAAACATGGTGAAGGCAAGAGAATGGTCCAGGAAGACAAGAGAAGAGGTGATTTCTCTTCACAGGAAGGGCAATGGCTATAAGAAGATTGCAAAGATGTTAAACATACCAAGAGACACCTTAGGAAGCATCATTCGCAAATTCAAGGCAAAGGGCACTGTTGAAACGCTACCTGGTCGTGGCAGAAAAGAAGATGCTGACTTCGACTGCTGTGCGCTACCTGAAGCGTAGAGTGGAGAGAAGTCCCCGTGTGACTGCTGAGGAACTGAGAAAAGATTTGTCAGATGTGGGTACAGAAGTTTCAGCCCAGACAATAAGACGCACACTGCGTAATGAAGGCCTCCGTGCCAGAACTCCCAGGCGTACCCCCTTGCTGTCTCCAAAGAATAAGAAGAGTCGACTGCAGTATGCCAAAAGCCATGTGGACAAACCACAAAAGTTGTGGGATAGTGTTCTGTGGACTGATGAAACAAAATTAGAACTGTTTGGGCCCATGGATCAACGCTATGTTTGGAGGAGGAAGAACAAGGCCTATGATGAAAAGAACACCTTGCCTACTGTGAAGCATGGTGGAGGGTCAATCATGCTTTGGGGCTGTTTTGCTTCTGCAGGTACAGGGAAGCTTCAGCGTGTGCAAGGTACCATGAATTCTCTTCAGTACCAGGAGATATTGGATGGAAACGTGATGCAGTCCGTCACACACCTGAGGCTTGGGAGACGTTGGACCTTTCAACAGGACAATGATCCCAAGCATACCTCCAAGTCCACTAGAGCATGGTTGCAGAGGAAAGGCTGGAACATTTTGGAGTGGCCATCGCAGTCACCAGACTTAAATCCGATTGAGAACCTCTGGTGGGACTTAAAGAAAGCAGTTGCAGTGCGCAAGCCTAAGAATGTGACTGAACTGGAGGCCTTTGCCCATGAAGAATGGGCGAAGATACCCGTAGATCGCTGCAAGACACTTGTGTCAAGCTATGCTTCACGTTTAAAAGCTGTTATAACTGTAAAAGGATGCTGTACTAAGTACTAAGATTGAATGTCACTTGGGGGTTGAATAAAACTGATAATGCTGTGAGCACAGAAAAGACATTTGTGGTTATTTCATTATAACTGTTATGTTATATTTGTCTGACCTACAAGTGCCTCTTTAATGTAAATGTAAGCAAGATGACTGAATGATCAAAAGCAATGTCAAACTGGCCAAAACACTCAATTTCAGTGGGGGTTGAATAATTTTGGACACAACTGTAGATAGATAGATAGATAGATAGATAGATTTTTTTTTTTTTTTTTTTTTTTGTCAGTCTCCTATCATATTTATGTTCCACAAGAAAAGAAAAATACCCATGCCAATGAAACAGCTATAGATTGCAGATTTGTTGCTTTCCAGGGTAAAGTAGCCTACTGATACAATAGAAAATCGGTACTTCTGGAATTTAATAAATCAGTCTATCCACTTGCTTTCTAGTTTAATTCAAACTATTTATCTGTGCATAGAAATGTAGTTCTTCAAAGTTATTTATGAATGTAGATAAAACTTATATGAACACAACAGCATAATAAGATTTTTCACATGAGCACATACAGTGGCTTGGTTCGGCAAGCTGGATCTGTAAACAAAACTTGCAGTAATTGATAAGAGTGCATAAGCTACTAAGTCGATATATGTTTTTCATATTCTGTTGAGATACCATTTAACCCCATAACAGTAAACCCTTTAAAAAAATCAGTCCTTTTAAGAATAGATTGACTAAAGAAGCAGTTGTTCTGTGTTTTTCTCAACAAAGGTCAAACTTAAAATATCTTTCATATTTTCTTGTGCTTCATCTATTTCTGTATATGAATGACCCAAAATAACTCCAGCAACTATAAAGTGATGAAATATGACATAAAATCGTATAATATCAGTCATGCCTGTCAGGCATATTAAAACATAATATATATGTATTTATAGGTTTTCCCACCAGCAGACTAGTGTGTATTTTTAGATTCTATATTTATATATTAACTTTGTTAATTAATATTCATGTCAGATGTATTCACACTGTACTGCATTCAATTTTTCAAGGATGAATAAGATAAAAGAAATCTATTTTTGGTTCAAAGTCTAACATTTCTGACTAGAAAGAATTAGCAGTAGTGCAATAGAAAAAGAAATGTACAGGAACCATGGGTGGACTGACAACTCATGGGGTCCCCGGGCAATAGGGATAATGGAGCCCCTGTGTCCTTGCCCAAACTGAAAAAAGCCTATGAAAAAGGTACCAGGGGCATCTCATGGGGCCCCCTACTGACCCCGGGCCCTCGGGCAGTGCCCGAGTTTCCAAATGGTCAGTCCGCCCCTGACAGGAACTGATTTGCTAAGCATGGAAGCATCCTGGTACAGAATGCTGGTGAGGTCTCACTCAGCGTTGTCAGTAATACAGTGTTCAACATACACACACATGTACATTCACAAGAATGCCCCCTATTAAAGTACATGTGTTTTCTAAAATTATATAACCATTGGGTAAAATATTTATCCCAAATTAATTTATTAAGCTGAAATCAATCGTGAATATTATCAACATTAGTTATTGTAGCATATTTGTGTGGTCAAAGAATGACCAAAAGGAAATATTTTATCCTGGTTTGCTTACAATATATAAACTCTCTCAATAAAGCTGGCAATACACTGATCAAAATTTGGCCTGTTCAGCCGGGAACGGCTTAATTTCATTCACTGTGTATCTGTCCCCTCTGGACATTGTTTGATCATGTGATCAATTTCTGTTGAAGGGGAAATATTTCTCAATCAATGGCTGTAATCAATCAACTGCTGATCAGTGTATTCTGACAGAAGTAGACCATGCTGTCAGAATACAATATTCCAGAAGGAGGGATTTGACCATTCACCTCTTTAGGCCCATTTCACACATGGTGGACCCCGCTTGCGATCCATTTGCTCAGCAGGAAATCTGTCTGCTGATCCTCCGCTGAGCAGGCCGATGACAGATCCATGTCCACTCTGCTTATGCAGAGCAGACACGGATACAGCCTGCTCTGCAAGCAGTCGGATGTAAACGAACCAGCTTACACCCAACTGCCCTCCTTTTACACCCAACTGCCCTCCAGTCTAATCTGCCCAGATGGAAGAGAATGGATCCCCTTCCATTTGTTTTTGGCGAATCTAATTGGATTGGAGGTAGGCGGGTGACACAAGTCTATTTAAACCTGCCACTCCTTAGAGCAGAATGAAGGGTAAAACAGCACACAGTTAACCCTTTGATCATTAACCCCTTCCTGCCCAGTGCCATTAGTACAGTGTTAGTGCTTTTTATTAGTACTGGTCACTGTATTGGTGTCACTGGGGATGTTAGTGACACCAAGTCAGTTCCCCCCAGTGTCAGAATGCCCCCCACAGTCCCACTATAAGTCACTGATCACTGCCATTACTAGTAAAAATAAAAAAAAATCCCAGTATATATACTGCCATTTGTAAACACTATAACTTTCACGTAAACCAATTAATTTACATGTATTGGGATTTTTTTTTTTAGCAAAGACATGTAGCAGAATACATTTTGGCCTTAGTTTATGCCGAAATTTGATTTTGTAAATTTTTTTACTGAACATGTTTAATAGCAAAAAGTCCAAAATATAGTTTTTTTCTCAAAAAATAAAAAAAACGCAGAGGCGATCAAATACCACCTAAAGAAAGCTCTACTGCTGGGAAAAAAAGGGCGCAAACTTCATTTGGGTGCAGTGTTGCATGACCGCGCAATTGTCAGTTAAAGTAACGCAGTGCCGTTATGCAAAAAATGGCCTAATCAGGAAGGGGGTAAATCCTCTGGAGGGCAAGTGGTTCATCACACTGGCATAAGTGTATGATCTGTTCCCTGCTGTAACAGATATTCCATTGATTATAGATTGGGTTCAACTGATCAGCTCTCACTGTTAAATCTTACAATTTCATGACATTATCTAATGATGTGGGCTTCAGACAGGTAAAGTCACCAATGAACATCTGTAATCTCAATCTCCACTAAAGCAGTTAATATCGCAACCTTCCCTTTCACTGATTATTTTTTTGTATGCTTTTCAGAGACAAAGTGCCAAGTTATAAGGACATC